AAAAACAAAAAATAATGATAAAAAATCGTGGAACTACTTGCCATGAATTTATATGTGGATTTATGGGCCATAGCATGTGAAATGTTCTGATGCGAACACGGCACACGTACCCAACACTTAAGTACACTTGCACTAGTGCGTACGCCAGCAAACGGCGGTGGCGGGGGGCGGCGTGATGGCTCAGTGGCGCCTGGTCTTGCTATTGCAATGACTGGGTTAGAATTCAAAGAGATCCCCGCCTATCATATGCAATGTGTATGATGCGTGGTTTGCACGCGTATTCATATACGCTGTGTGTGTTTGTCGTTGAAACCTCTGAAGCTAACGCAAAAGAGAGAGAGAAACCTTTAACCTTTAAACGTGTTGGCGGTAACATTTTTAAAATTTTTATCAAAATAAACACTATCAACACATACACAGATTACATATAAATGTATATATAATAAATATATATGTATATATAATTATTAAAAAGTATCACTGCTTTTTCAGCTTTTATCAATATTAGGAATGAGACGTAGATACAACTGTTGAGAAATTTTTGTTATCATCCAAGTTGAAAATGAAAATGCAGTAATATTTCTTGACAATTGTATCCATGACAGTCTCTACCCTAATTATATATATATATATATATATATATATATATATATTTATTTATTTATTTATTCATTTATTTAGGACAATATATTGATATATAGCGCCCATTCAATGTTCTCACAGGCGCTCTCAAAAAATCAATTTTAATTATATACGTGCAAACAAAATTAGTACAAAATCAAATTCAATGCAACTTCAACAAAAATAAAAATGTCTTCAAATCCTTTTTAAATGATTGAAGATGAAGTCCAGGTTTTCTCAGTGATGTAGGGAGACTGTTCCACACAGTGGGACCGGCAATATCACGAGATCCAATCTGTAACCTTGCCACTGGCACTCTTAAGAGATTCATATCAGCTGACCGAAGGCAGAAACTAGATGCCGTTCCTTTTCTGGTAAATTATTGGTTATGCAATCTGGTGACATTCCGTTTAAAACCTTAAACATGATCACACCAACTTTAAAAATTATCCTTTTCTCAACCGTCAACCAGTGCAAATCATTTAAAATTGGCGTAACGTGGTCAAACTTCAATTTACCAGCAACCAACTTTGCAGCTCTATTCTGAACCGACTGCAGAATAGCAATAGATTTATCAGGTATTTTATACAACCAGCTGTTGCAGTAATCTGTATGTAACAAACGCATGCACCAAATTTTCCAAGGTTGATCTGTCCAACCAGTGCTTAATTCTATATAAATTCCGGAGACAGAGATGCATGAAACTGATATCATCTTTATATGATCCTTCATCAATAATCTACTATGAAGCAAACTCACAAATTGGTGGAGCATAAATGAGCGGTATGTTAACATCATTTACTGTGATGGAATTTACATTTAATTTTACCAACTGCTGCAATGTGCCAACCGGAAGCAGCTGAGTCTTGCACTGATTGAGTTTCAATGAGTTACGTGACATCCATTTTCCAACCTCCGCTAAGCATTTGGCAAGTTTATCAACCTCAGCCTTGAAAAAATCACATACTCGCAAGGACTACAAAAATTTCACATTCTACACTCACGAGCAAAAAATGTGAATTAAAATAACGCAGCCATTAAATAATGAAAAATTCATTGAAATATAAAATTTTGCATAGTTAACTGAAAACCCACACTGCATCAATGTTGGGTTTTGAGTAACCATTTAAACGAAATTTTCGTAAAAAATTATTTATTCAGACTTGGTTTGGGCAGTTGCAAATAAGAGTGCAATTTATGTGGTTTGATTGAAAGTAAGCCATTGATTTGGATCAACAGATGTTAGCTTGTGAGATCAGGCAGCAAAAAATTAAATCATTTAAAAACGAACCGTTTAACTTTTTTCTTAATTTCAAATTAAAATGAAATAATTTTTATAAACTTCAACACTCATCCACCTCATCTTGCCAGTCCGCCATCCCCTCATCACTGATTCAAAAAACTTCATCATCATTACGTCATAACCTCATCATCATCATCATCACAACTACTGCATCATCGTCGTCTCATTCGACAACATCATCATCATCACTCTACCACAACAACATCATCATCAACACCATATGGCATCACAATCACCACCAGCACATCTTAACTGCTGCACGACATCATCACACAAACACAACACGTTGTCGACCGGAGCATCAACCTTCCAATAAATCTCAAAGTCATGATTACAATCATCATCATCTTCTTCATCATCATCATCATCTTTGTTCCCGTCATCCTCATCATCTTCATCCTCATCATCTTCATCATCATCATTTTCTTCATCATCATCGTCGTCGTCATCATCATTCTCATTCTCGTTGTCATCGTCATCACTTTCTTCATTGTGTGTGTAGCAGTTATTTTCTTATCATCGAATATTATCACATAACTTGGAAGTGTTTTCGGATTTTTGCAGATAAAATTTCAACGATGCTTGCTGACAAATTGTTTTTTCGAACAATAATTTCGTAATGGGGTGAGTGTAGAAATGAGCTTTGTCATCATCAACATTAAAAAGCACTGGCACAACCTTTTGTCCAACTAAAACCTGACATCTTGAATTTGATTAAAGTTGACATTTTGTGGCCAGCAAGAAATAATTTGTTTTATCATTCAACACGAATACATAAATATTAACTAATCTATGTTTACCGTTACAAAAGATTTATCCAACTAAGATTTTTTTCATAATTTATGATTAATATAAACATAATTTCTTAAAATACAGTAAAAGTCCTCTAGAGCGGGACCCTAAAGAACGGACAGATAAGAGTAACGGACAGTATTGTTTGGCACGGAACCGTTTTGCATGTTAAATAGACCCTAAAGAACGAACATTTTAAAGGAACGGACTACGGACAGGGTTTTAAGTACAAATTGACTTTTATGTCTTAAAGAGCGGACAATTTATAACAAAAACACATGGAATATTTGATAAAATGTGCCATATAATTTGAATATTTGTATTTATTCTATTCTATGGAATGCGCTAAAGAAACTTTGATAATCTTTGGTTATTTAAAAAAAATTATTTTCGCTCTTTTATTTTTTATCGCGGTCGTGTTGATAAACTGTTGTGTAATAATGGAGTCGACTCTGCGAAAAAAATTTTTAAACTTGAAAGAAAAAATGCTGGTGGTGAAAAAATTAAATGATGAAGTTAGCATACGAAAAATTGCTGAAGAATTTGGTTGCGGAAAAACTCAAATGTGCAGCTGATTGAAGCTGATCCTACCATAACCAGAATTTTTTCAAACTTAAATGAAGATTTAAAACATCAATAATACCAATTAACGAGAATTTAGATTAATTTATCACGCTATTTATATCGCCGGCATGCGAACGACATGATCTTAGCAGATGAAGGTTGTCTCAGGTTTGTGTGTATGTGTGTATATATGTGTATGAATGCATGTGCATGTGTATGTCTGTATATCTGTATATATGTATATATATATATACATACTAAAATGTTAAATGTTAAGTCCCAGTTTCTTCCTATAGGCACCTGGCAGCAGTTATCAAGGGTTGGTATTAATTCAGTTATAATACAAAATGAAAATGTTCAGTTTTGCCATAGGGCTACAAATTTGGGGTGTATTTTTGACACCAAACTTACTATGAATGATCATATAAAAACAATTGTGAAGACATGTTCATTCCAACTGCAAAGATTGAATCGAGTTAAAAAATCATTGAACAAATCAACATTACAGTCATTAATGTACGCGTTCGTCCATTCACGTTTGGACTATTGCAATAGCTTGTTTTATGGTTTACCGAACAGATCGATTGTGATGCTTCAGTCCATCCAGAATAGAGCTGCTAAAATTGTTGCAGGTGGTGCTAAATTTGATCGCGTTACGCCAATTTTGAGGAACCTACATTGGCTAACTGTCAATAAAAGGATAATATATAAAATCTGTATGGTAATGTACAAGGTTTTAAATGGATTTACGCCAGAATATTTGACATGCAAGTTCAATAAGAAGAGATCAAATTTGCGTATTGGCACAAGTCTAAGTTCTGATGATGATAATTTGATGGTTGTGCCTGTTTTTTGTTTGCAGATAGGAGCAAGAAATATTGCAGTGTCGGGGGCGGTTGTATGGAATGGTTTGCCACGGTCGTTGAGGGTGTGCGATTCAAGAATTGAAAACTTTAGGAAGAATTTGAAGACTCATTTATTTAATCAATAACAGTGAACTGATTTATTTGTGATTTATTTTATCTACTTTTTCAGCTATTTCTGTTAATTATAGGATAGCGCTTTTGAAAAATTAACACTATTATTTTTAATAAGCGCTTCATAAACTTTTAATGATAATAATAATAATAATAACAATATATATATATATATATATATATGTGTGTGTGTGTGTGTGTGTGTATGTGTGTGTGTGTGTGTGTGTGTGTGTGTGTGTGTGTGTGTGTGTGTGTGTGTGTGTGTGTGTGTGTGTGTGTGTGTGTGAATGCATGTATGTATATGCATATGTATGCGCATGTATGCATTGTGTATGTTTGTGTGTATGTATGTGTGTGTGGTATGCGTGTGTGTGTATTTGATGTTTGTTGATGTGTGTGTGTGTATGTTTGTGTATATGTGTGGTATATATATATAAATTTACATTCATGCATATAGTTGTCATCAATCTCCGAACAAAACAAAATGTAAATGATTGCGACACTTCATTCATTCGCTTGAAAGATGAAAATACATCACTCCTTTTTGCTGAATGTATAATACAAACATACATATACATACGTACATACCTACATATGTACATACATACATACATACATTTAAAAGTAATTGAAAAGTCACTTAAATTGCATGTTAGTAGAGATAACGTGTACAATTTGGTTATACAAATACATATGTACAATACATAAAATAGCAGGACTTTGGAAATTTATACAATTGAGATATGGAAAATGTGGAGGGGGATATGTTTGACAACACTTTGAACAAAGGGTCAGAGTTGGAGATTTTTGCTGGAGTTGGAATTTTTTGAGGGGTCGGAATCGGAGTTACATTTTTAACATCCTACCCCGACACTCTGAATTTAAAGTGAATCCACTAATTTGGAAACTTGTGCTTGAAAACAACAACGACGACGACGACGATGATGACGATGATGATGACGATGATGATGATGGTGATTTTTTATTCTTTACAATGCAGCTCTGTCAAATGCAGTGCAGCTTACATGTCATTCCAAACTTACATGTAATTAAACTTCCGAGCCACGAAGTCTGTACTACCCAAACCACACGACGCACATACACATTAACGCGTATGATGGTCTTTGAGATTGGGTCAGAGAGTATTCGAACCATGCCATCGCGTAATAGCAGCGCGAGACATGCCACTCCTACTGACTGAGTTAACTCGGTGACCATTGATGAAGATTATTATTATTATCATCATCATCATCAGTAACAGCAGTAACTACAACAATAATAGCAGTAGCAACAACATAGACGTCATCAGCAACAACTCTGGCAGCAATATCAACAACGTTATCGGCAACAACTACTTAAACAACTATATTATTAGCAACAACACTGAAAATTACAACTACAGCGTTGTTAACAACAGCCTCCCTATCCACAACTGCAACAGCAATGATTCCAACAATAACATCAACATCAATAGCGACAACAACAACAGAATCTTCAACGGCATCGACGACAACAACACTATTAACAACAAAAATCATATCAACAATAGCATCAACAGCAGTAACAGTGACAAAAATAATCCAATAAAAGCATCGGCAACAACAACGTCAACTACAATTCCATTAATGACGTCAACATCAATTACAACAGCTGCAGCTAAATCGACGTCACTCACAGCTCCTTGAACAGTAAAATCAAACCACCAACATTGTCGCAATCTTGCAACTGAATAACAGTCAACCATCTTCATCGCCAACTCACAGCAACTCTGACAATAATCAAATCGCAAAGGCAGAAAAGGCCTCAAAATGCACCATCGATCATGCATGGTCCACAAAACTTTACAACTATCGAAAGTTGCGAACGCATTCGCAAAAACTACTCCATTGCCTGCAACACTTACGTAAGAGCAACAACCAATGTCGGCATCCTCACTAAATATCAAACACATCGAGAAGCCTCATCCAGGAGTCAAACTGCCAAGAAACTCTGCTCAGTGGTCAGAGGTCATTACTTACTTTCAGCTTACGACAATCTTGACAAGTTCACGCTAGCATCTCAATCAATAATTAAAATCACTTCGCTTCCAACTATGGAAAATATTAATTCAAAAACATGTTCAAACGACAACAGTAATAAAGGTAATAAAGTCTTTGAAGAAAGAATTAAAACAACTTAAAGTTCTTTGTCACAACAACAATCAATTTGATGTTCGGTTTATAAAAAATTAAGTTCAAAACTTTCAACAGCGAAATGGACCGTTGAACAAAAACCGAACAATACTAATCAAACTAAACGTCGTTTCTGGTGGACCTGTAAAAAGTTATTCACCCAAGCAAACCCAGCTTGAGACCACTGTTTGATGTCGACAACTGCAAAAACTATTTTTGCTTCATCCGAAACGACGATAATCTCGTTAACCATCAACTTCCAAATTGGATTTTCAAAATTTCAAAACCGTCGAACACCTTGCAACTTGAATCCTCCTTCATATCACAAAATATCAGCAACTATTATTCTTTTCAAAAATGCCCTATCTTAGGCACGATTCTTCACTAATTACTTTCGCAAAGCTGGTCATCTATGACAAAAGATTTACCATTTTAACACATAAAAAAGAAGATGCCAACAATCATTTTGCAACCCACACTCTAAAAAATATTTACATTAACAATAGAATTTTCAATTTTCTTTAAATCATCTCATTTATAAACAAAAATATACAGAGGAGTTTCTACCCAAAAGTTGACGGCTTTACCAAGCACTCCTAACCCCAGAGCTACCGGATAAAATATGACGAAAAACAAGTGCTGCTCATTCGAAATGAGAAAAAAAATGACGACTAGAAACAGTTTCTCCCTGACCATTGGAGACAAACTCATTTCTTGTGTTGAAATGAACGACCATTTTGTATACCTTGATAGGATTTATGATTTTGACGGTGGCATCTCAAAAGCAAAAAAAAATGATGATTAAAAAGTTTATAAACTTGCTATCAGTCATAAACATGTTGGACACAGCGCCCCAATAGAAGCTACATATATTACGAAGGTTCGTTCCATCACAATTGACTTTTGAGTTTTGCACATATGATATTCGGCTGACATGAATTGCAAAAATACTGGATACCTAGGTCGCGGAGGCAGTAAGAAACTGGCTTTCACTGCCATTTAGCAGCTGTGCATGAATGTTTATCAGGGAACTGCAAATCAGATCACTACAAAATTTTGCAGAATCAATCGGAATTAAACTTTGCAATTATCATAAAACCCACCATAACATAGACATCAACTGCTTATGGAGTGAATTCTACAACAACTACATTAAGATTGACAACATGCTTCCTCATTCAAAAGATGTAAAATCGACACTCCAAGCGTTAAAGACTCGCCAACAGAAATCCGATTTCAACCATCTGTCACGGCTACCAAGCCAGGAGAGAATCATTAGAGTAGTTGGAATACATTTCTGCAAGTCAAGTTGCCCGTTAGTCAAAATTCTAGAGGTTTTACTCAAATTTCTATGAAAGGCTTTAATTCAACGACTTCCTACAAATGCAAACATATCCAGATGGGGTTAATCGTTTAACGCGTTGTGTCCTCTTTGTAACGCGCTCCAAGCACACAAGCATGTTTTGTCATGTTGTAGTTCAGTAGCGGCTCTGAAAAGAATCACGAATCGTCACGATAGAATATTATCCTTGATTTTGAGTGAGATCAGATCGTCTGAAATGCCGGAGGTGACAACTTTTACTGATACGAACAGAATAGAATCTCTCCCAGTATCACCTCTGTTCGGATCACTTCGTCCTCCACTGAGACATGATTGAAGGACTCGAACTTGAAGCCTCGAGCCTGCCAAGAGTCAAACTTCTCGAAATCAAGGGACTACAAAATGTCTAAACAATCTCAAAGCCTCAGTAACAACTTGATTGACAATTTAAATCACTTAAAAACAATAATCAAAATTTTTGAAATTTCCCCGTTAGGTTACTGTAAACATTTTCGCTTATCACTTGTCAACATAAATTGGTCGGATCAATTTTACAATAATTTAATAAACTCGTCAATACCATCATCATATGCCATTTATGGCGACCGTAACTGCAGTTTAAACCAATTTTATTTCTCCTTGTACTCATTCATTTTAAAATTTTATGAATGACGAGCATTTGAGATTATCTCTCTTTAATTTCATTCTATTCTATTTATGTACCTTTTAATAATAATCGGATATAGTGTTAATTATAGCATTTGATTTTATCATTAGACCGCCAGTTTTATTAATTTTAACTCTATTTGTTTTTATTTTATCTGATTTTATTTTTTCATTTTATTTCATTATATTGATAGTTCTGTTCATTGAATAAAGACAGTGTTCGCATTATTATTTTTATTATTATTATTATTATTATTACAACTCCCCACCACCGCTCGATACACCGGTTTCATTTCAATATATCCGATGCGTAAACATTTGCAAGAGCGTGCAAGAGGAGCAGGCTGGCCACAAATGTACAAGCAGATCTTACAGAGCCTTGAAAGAAATAAATTTTCATCTTCACTCTTCTCATTCATTTACTTTCATTACCTGCTTGCCGTAGCAGCAAACAACATGCAAACAACGAGGTTGCTCATACATAAGTTATTCATTCATTCATTCATTCATTCATTCATTCATTCATTCATTCATTCATTCATTCATTCATTCATTCATTCATTCATTCATTCATTCATTCATTCATTCATTCATTCATTCATTCATTCATTCATTCATTCATTCATTCATTCATTCATTCACTCACTCACTCACTCGTTCGTTCGTTCGTTCGTTCGTTCAATCATTCATTCATTCATTCACTCACTCACTCACTCACTCACTCGTCTCACTCGTTCGTTCGTTCGTTCGTTCATTCATTCATTCATTCACTCACTCACTCACTCGTTTGTTCGTTTGTTCGTTCGTTCGTTCGTTCGTTCACTCACTCACTCACTCACTCACTCACTCACTCACTCACTCACTCACTCACTCACTCACTCACTCACTCATTCATTCATTCATTCATTCATTCATTCATTCGTTTATTTATTTATTCAATTTTATACCTTCGCCTAATAATTCAACAGTAAATGTAATTTAACATTGCTCCTATAAATACAATATCACCTAATTTGTTTTTAATGAATCTTTCTGCTGTTGTTGTAGCTGCTGGTTCTGCTTCTGTTGTTGTTGAAGTTGGAAGGAGTTGAATGTACTTGCTCAGGAACTAACCTGATGCTTCCACTCTCCACTGACATAAATTATAAATCTCATTCATTGCTTTTTTTTATAAGTAACAACTGTTGACACGTTAAAAACTCGTGAACTTGCATTTGCTTAATAGTGGCATGGCGCGTGTTTAGTGGCACTCCCCAGGCAGACTGGCCCCATCTCACCTCACACCGTTAAAACACTACCCACTCTTAATTGCTATTCATGCGGCAGTGGTCGGTCAACATTGTAAACAATTTTATACGTCACCACATATTGCTACAAAATTCATGAAGCTTATAAATGTTAACGCTGATGATGAACAATAAAGGCAACTATGATGAAGACAGGTACGTAGGCGAAGGTGAAATGATGATGATGATGATGATGGCGATGAATTTGATCTACAGAGGCCGATGAAAATGATCGTCTGCAGGTGATGGAGATCCTCGAAAGGGTGTGACGTGTGTAATTATTATTTATGTGCCAGTTCATTTCGAATTGTTTTTCTTGAATGATTCATTGATGATGATTTTTATATACACAAACATTTTTAATTTTAAAAAGTTACAAAATTTCCTTCAGAGAAAACTCCCAGGCAATCGTCATTCAAGTTTCATCTCCATGAAAGCTCTGCTGATGATTCTTCCATGAACATTGGCGCGTGAAAACTATCTCAGAAAGTGAAGGTGGATGATTAAGATTTCATTAGTTTTGTGATTGAGCAGATTACATGATTAATGTGGTTGCACGATTGAGCAGGTTGCATGATTGCTGTTAATGTTTTCTTTTCACATTCTATATCGTCTATAAAATTTTATATTACAGCCACGGCTGTAATATTTTTGTTACTCTGCTAAGTAAATAAATGAAAATGTTTACGATTACCTTGCAATCACCTGCCGGTGTTTCTCGCATGTTGTTGACAAGTTGTGTCGTCGTTTCTTTCATCTTGCTACGACTCTGCATGCGCGAGCTGTGTAGAGTTTTGTGCATGGATTGGATGTTGACTGTCGGTTTTTACTGTTGGCCCAGATTTTATTTCAAAAGCATTTTTCAACGTGGAGAAAATTATTGAACGATTTTCTTGTTAAAGCTCATACAAATATTTTCTATTTGTCGACAAAGAAATTTATAGGTCACCAAAATCTATTGAAAAAAGGATATCATTTTTTACGAGCGCCTGTATATTTATGATTTTATTTATAAAAGGCAATTTGAAAAATGTTTGCAACAGTAAATGATTTTTTAATGACGGTTTCAACACTAATATTTCCATTCACATACAACCTCCTCCCAACAAACTGTTGATGCGTGCAAGTATGAAGTTTTCCCAACATTGTACAACTGGCCGTTCAGAGTAATGAAATTGTTGTTAACCACAATGAAGCAACTGGTTTGTATCAATTGATTAATTTTTCTTGTAATAATGAGATCATCATATCTTTATAGAATAATAGATTTGCATTATTAATATTTATATAACAGTAACGCAAAAATTTTTAAAGACCGTTGTTTTATTTAAATTATTTAATCTAACATTGCCTTTATTGCTCTACAAATCTGGTGGAGTGGAATCAGAAGCAACTTCGGCGTTGTTGACACGCACCAGACCAGCAAATGGATTACATAAATTTCATGAAAAGAATTAAAATTGCGATAGACATGACATTTGGAGAGAAGCAAACAATTCAGGTTAAAATAAGATGCTCATCAATGACAATCAACGTTAATTATGGAAATAAGGAGTCATGCTGAAGTGAAGTAAATTAAAACCCATGATTGCCTCATTTCATTTATAATGCATCAATATCTTAAAATCTAAAATTTGGTGGTTGGTAGAATTTTTTGCCCTTGACAAGTAGATAATCAGCGTTACCAGTGCCATGAATCAGTAGGAAAGATTAATTGTGTGGCCTATTCCTAATTACATTTATCTACACTCTGTTTATGAAATTGTACGCCTTTGCTGTTTGTCTTGTGACATGCATTCATAGAAATTTAACTTTATATCCTCTGAAATATGTGAAAAAAATTCAGTTCTTTGATTTTAATGAGGCTTTATCTATCGTATATATTTGTAATATAATACGCGTTTAATAAAAAAAAACAAACATTAACGCAGCATTAGTTACTTGCTTCAATATTCAGTGCAGAACAAGCTGGCGTCGGTATGACATTAAATCACGTTGGGATTTTTTAAAAACAGCAAATACTAAATACCTATACCAAATCATAGATTCACCTTCAAGTTTAATTGCATTAAACCACTTTCACATAAAAACTAACCAGTAAATAAAATTCTGACACAATTTTATCATTGATTAGTAAGTAATTTATTAAAATACTTAACAAAAAGTAAAATATCAGATTGAAAAAGAATGAACCAAGACCAATCTGGTGGGGTTTGTTTAGCCGAAACTTAACTGAGATGCCATAAACTTGGTCTTCCCCCTAATCCCCTCCTCTTTCTATACATCTGCTATTTGTAGACAGCATGTATGGAAAAATATATTTGATTTGAAATATTGAAATTAATTGAAGTTAAAAATCTGTTGAGTTTGTTTAATATTACAAAAATGTACATCACGATTAAATTATTGTTTTAATTTCTCATTCAAATTCACATTCGTCACGATGTTGAGTGTTTTATAGTTGTTTTATAAAATAACTTCGTTAAATTTCTATGAAATTAAATGAAAGTCCATGGATTGATTTTTATTAAAAGACAACATTATTAATGTACAAATTAGTATTTTGAACGTGCTTAATATAATCGTAAAAATTACTTCAAATGGAACAGAATGACAAATAGGTTTTAATGAATTTTCAATCAGAAATACCAATCGATGTTGTAATTCTAGTAACTAGTTTAAAAAATCGACAAAAATTTGCAGTTTCATTTGCAGAGTCAAAAAACAAATATATATTACAATGAATGAACAAGCTGAACCTAACAATTCTTCCTTCTTGTAATTTATGAAAGGCCTTCGGGAAGATAAAAATTTGATTGGTTTGCTATATTTTTCAATCTAGGGTAAACATGTACGAAACTCTTAAACATTCTATGCGTTGATAGGTTCGTACGTCTCACGTGCCAAGAGTTATTTACTAACAAAAACATCTCCAAGCACTTCAGCTCAACAATTATGTTTTGGCGTATTAAGGGCTAGCATAAATATGCAATTAAAATTTAAAGTAGTCTTAAAAACCAACTGAAATTAAACAAGAATTTAATTTGACTAAATAATTAAATATTATTCGATAGTGCTAGAATACGGAAATGTTATGCTATTGAATCACTTATAAATTCCTCAGCATAACATGCGTGTGGTGTTGAGAGAAATAATTACAACGGATCATTTGCTGGCGAGCCATACTAAAACTCACACTCAACTTATTTTATTAATTTGAATTTGTTTGAATGAATTTTTTATATTGGAATGAAAATCATTTCTTGCCTGAAATTATGAAGTAGCCGCCAAGAAGAACGATGAATGTGCGTGTGTGTCATCATTTCAACAGCTATGCTCGACAAAATGGAAGATACAGTAAGTGAAATAATTTGATAGTTATTGCAATTAAAAATGTTCGTTCAACAGACAGAAAAGTGTTTGTACGTTAGTGAGTTTCAAAGTGGCAGACTTCAGGAAATGTTCAACAGTTGTACTCCAACAGATGAACACGACCGCTAATGTTTAGTTGGAAGTTTGGCAGAAACATCTCAATAAAACAAAATATTGTATGCATAATATATAAACACACACACCACACACAAAGTGCATGTGTGTGTGTGTGTGTGTGTGTGTGTGTGTGTGTGTGTGTGTGTGTGTGTGTGAGTGAGCATATGTACATTTATATACATGTAAGTGTTCTTACGTGTGCCCCGTTACATGTTGTACAGTACATACGATGAGTGGTGGTGTAAAAAAAATGATACTTTTGGTAACGTAAAAAAACAAAGATGATCTTCAACATCGAAGAAATGAACGATTTCATGCGTCTTTAATTTTATCTTCAATATCCCTTATTTATTAACCCTTCATATCAACATTCCAATATTTACACACGCGCGCGCGCACACACACACACACATATATATGTGTGTGGGTCTATTTATATATATATTTAGAAAAAGTATTGAAATGTATAGTATATACAGAGTAATAGACAAAAAAATTCACTCGTCTCTAAATGCGGAAGAATAAAACAAAAAATGAAATAAATGATTAAGAACCATTTACAAATGTTTTGTTTCCATTAACCAGAGGATTGTGTATAGCCGTTATGCATTAACCATTGGCTTCAAGAAACATGGTTCCGTAAAATTCTAATTTACAATTTCAAAATGAAAGAAAGGAAACGATTCTGAAAAGTTGTGAGCATATGTTAAAATCCGTAGTAACTAATAAATTGCAAATATGATGGTTAATAAAAATTTATTTTATTTTAAATTTTTTTTCTGTCAATGCTGTTTCTTACTGATGCATGTAAAATTAGCATGTGGAAAGAGCGCGGAATAGAATGTGTAGCAAGCAGCATTACGACTGAGAGACGAATCACCATGGAATTAGTTCCTTCACTTCAAAACCACCTTATTATTTAAAACGAAACACGTTATTCTGAAATAAATTTATTTTCCCAAACTCAGTCCATCCTGTCATGGAAGACTTCCCTATCAATCCCACTCAATCATTCTACGCACCAGCTACTTTTGTAATTGTTACTAGTTGGTGATATGAGGTTTTTCCACTTGGAAGGATGATAGCATCTGTCTTTGGTATTGTTACTTCTCCCGTACAACAGGTTACCAGCAAAAACCGCAGACAACATGTTCTGTTCTTACTTGAGGAGGTTGGAGACTTTTATATTGTTTGCTATTTTCCGTCCAGTTCATTCGTGCAGTCTCCTTTAATTAAGGTTGCAAGTCAGTTTTCTGCAATCCAAATGTTCACTATCAAATAAAAAAATGTGTTGCGGTCGGCATGCGTATGAATAAGCATTAGGGGAGAATTCAGCAATGCTGTCACGTCCTCCTCTGGTTCAATTGGTTTTGTGCTGTTTCAAGTTGCATTCTTTCATTTTAGATGTTGTTTCTATGTTGGAATGGAACTAAACATCCATTCAAGATTTGTGGAATCTGTTGATGAATATATTAATATAAAAAAAATATTGTATAACAAATGTTTATTGTACACTTAATTCTATAATATAATTAATAGATTACATAATTAACGTTAAAATATAAAAATATAAACACAATTGTAAATAAAATTCTGTAAATAATGGACGTCTAGATAGATACACATGTTCACGCTGCATTAATCATTTCGAAACAGTTGAATAATTTTATTTTGTATTATTTATTTATATAATTATCAATTTGTTTATATATAATTCATATTACATGAGATGCATTCATGATATGTTACATGAATGAAATGTTACATGAATGAGCGAACGGACAACAACCTGGTGAACTTCTTACTATCTTCGTGAACGCACATCTCCGAACTTTTGAATTCATTCAACTCCTGCCTGATTGCCGCCTGTCGAGTGATTAAGATTTGCATTCAAACGAATGAGTTCACTCAAAGTATTAGGAGGTACACTGAAACGGATCAATTGATCCGAGGCATTCATTAAAATTAGCGAAATATTTTTTAGATATTTGATTTTCAAACAATTATCTTCTTTATTGAAAACGATCGGAATTTATTTGAAATAACTAACTTACTGAATTTATCCTGTGCATAATAAAATTCATAGGCATCTGAACATACAACAGACGTCGAACACTTACCCACACTACATGCGTCTGCTGTTAAACAATACACACACGCATCCAAATTTTGCACTGGAGCAAATAAACTCCGAAACTGACTTTGTCCCTGGTGGAGAGTTTGGTCCATGGTTTCTCGGCCCTCCTGTCGTAATCCTCCACCTCAGTCACCTCCACGTAGTCGCAGAACTTGATGATCTTCTTCTCTTTCAGCTCTTTCACTGTTGGCCTGGAGCTCAGCTGTTTGAAAATGTTAATTAAATTAACGATACAAAAAGTTTCTAACAACGTTGTTCATCATAATTTTAGAAGACATCAATGATCTCGATAACAAAAAATTCTGCAAACAGTTGAAAATGACATGTAAAGACATTTGCAATTATTACATCGATGTTTCTGTAAAATTCGGCGTGCAAGTGCATTCAACGTTTAAAGAAGTATGCTCAGAGAATTTTAATAATTCCAAAATAAAAAAAGAGAACTCAGAAATGTTAACTCGCTCATCATGGTTAATTCAAAACATTTGAAGCAATTACTTTTCTGACGAGATTGATTTTTTTTTCTTCTCGTTCTCTCTCCAGTTCATCCATCGTTTGCTCTGTCATTCAATTCATATGTCGTTCATCAACGAAATGCATTCATAATGGTGGTGTCCCATTTATTGAAATTCGTTAACTCTACAGGCACTCAAATCCTCAATATTAATTCAAAACATTTTTAACCAGATGACAAATTTATTCAAATTATTATCAAGAACACCTTCAAAATGCTTAAAAACCAGAGCAATGTTGAAAATAAAACAAACTGAGAAGAATATGCTTCTCTTCAAGTTCCTCAGAAGTGGGCCTCAAACTCAGTCGTCTGCAACGATATTTTAAAGAAGGCTAATCGGTTATACTCAAAAAACGAAAAGATGAAAGCGGTGCAACCAAACACACATACACACACACACACAAACATACACACATGCGTGATGAACACATACATGATACAAGCATATGTACATGATACATTCATGCATACAACATACATACATACATACATACATACATACATACATACATACATACATACATACATACATACATACATACATACATACATACATACATACATACATACATACATACATGCCCAAATATCTATAATTTTTGCCATTCTGCCTATGGCGGAGTCTCTTCTCTTGGCTACCACTCTTGGGTTGTAGAACCGTCCGAGAGGGTACAGCAGGGTGATCCCCTTGGTCTTTGCTGTTCGCACTAACTCTTCATCCACTCTTAGAGAAAGCTTCGTCCACTTTCGTTTGCGCTGGATGATATCAGCATTGCTTCGGACGGCCCAACTCTGGCCGATAGCTACGAAAATCTGAAGCATAACTCTGCTGCAATTGGTTTAGAGTTAAACATTAAGAAATGCGAACTTCACTGCCAAAGTTTATTTATGCGCTTTATGCGCTGGCTGGAATACCCAGAGTTGGTGCATCAGAACTGAGTTTTTTAGGCACACCCTTGGTCGAGGGCGATTACCAAATAAAGTTTTTTGACCAAAAGCTCTCTGAGCTCAAATTCGCCCTGGGTCGTGTTTCATGTCTTTTGGCCCATGATGCCTTGATTATTATCCGCAATGCCCTCAGTTTGCCCAATTTGATGTATTTCCTGCGTACATCCAAACACATTGATCTTTCTAAATTGGGCAAATTTGACAGAGCCCTGCGCACCGCCCTGTCGTCGATTTGCAATGTTCAAGTGACCGACAGTGGTTGGTCCCAGGCTCAGCTGCCGGTGCGATTTGGTGGGCTGGGGTTCCTCAGCGTGGTTCAACTGGCTCCAGTTGTTTATAATTCTTCTGCCGCTGCCACTCTCGACCTGCAGTCTTCACTGCTCCACCGGTTTTTTTGTTGCCGCGATATTCTCCCCCAGTGTCTGCCCCAGGGGACCGTACGCACGTCCAAATTTTGAACGAAGAATATAAAAAGATCTTTCAAAATTTGTTGTCTTCATGCGGCGACGACTTTTCCACCGCTCGTTTGTTAGCCATGTCCAGCGTTGCCAGCTGTGGGTGGTTGAGATCGTAGCCCAACACCTCTGTGGGCACCAGACTTGACGACAAGTCTGTGAGATTTGCCATTGGCTTCAGACTTGGCTTGGTCATTCAAAATAAATACACGTGCCGATGTGGCGCTGGGGCGGATGAGTTTGGGCACCACGGTTTGGTTTGTCGCCTGGTGGGAGCTGTCAACTACGTCACTCAACATTAAACGACTACATTTGTCGGCTCTTTTCCAAGGCTTCAATCCCAGTTCTCAAGGAACCATCCGGCATTCCTGCACATGATGGTAGGCACCCGGACGGATGCACACTAATACCTTGGAGAGCCGGTAGATGTTTGGCGTGGAATGTTACGGTCCCTGGCACCCTTGCCGAACGATATGTAAACCTGACAAGTAAAGAATGCGGTTTGGCCGCGGCCAGGGCAGCGGACGAGAAAATGAAAAAATATGGGAATGCCCTCCCCTCGATGGAATTCTTGTCAATATGTATCGAGGTTCTCGGCCCTATGGACCCCAACACCCTTAAATTTCTTAAGGCAATATGTAAAATGATCAGTGTCAGATCAGGCGACAGCAGGGAACTGTTTTTCGCAACTAATCACATTTCGTGCTTGTTGCAGCGGTTCCTGCGTGTCTGTGTGCTTGAAAATATCTAACTGACATGTGCAATTAACGACAAATCAAAGTGTTAATCCATTTGTTATTTGATGTTTGACGGTTCAGTGTCACTCATCATGTTTTGGTTTTAACATATATACATATATACATACATACATACATACATATATACATACATTATGGAGTTCATCATCGAATCGAAGAATTGGGTCAGCGGTGAATCCTAGAAAGAGTAAAAATTCCTTTCCTTGACGAACATTTTTGTGCAGGTGTTCCACACAGATCCATACAGTTGTACTATCGCCACTTAGGGCCGTTTCTTTCCGTCAAATTTTTTTTTCAGCAAGGGCAGCTGTACGTGCCAGTTCAAAAGCTCCACCCACATGCGTTCAAAGGACTTCACCAATTTCTTTCTGAGAAATAGACCACCGTGTTTAAACAACTCTGCAGGCAAACCATCCTAACCGGGCGCTTTTCTAGATGACAACCGAGATATTGTTTTATCCACCTCCTGCATCCATGTAGTCTTCAGCTTGTTTGACTGTTGGAAGGCCGGGTTTGTCACAACTAGTTTTTGCATTGCGCAAAAATCAAGAAGCCTGATTTTATTTGAGTTTTCTTCACCAACCCCATTTCACCCCAGTACCCCACGCCATATGTCATGATCTACACCCATCCGTGCGTCAAAGTCACCCAACACAAACAAGTGGTGTTCAAAGGACGTCGCATTTATAGCTATGTTGAGCTATTCATAGAAACAATGTTTTTCTTTCTCCGACGCTCCCAGTGTGGGCGCATAGCAGCTGATCAACGTAACGGTGTGTCCTCCTTTGAGACTCAGTTGCATCTTCATTAGACGGGGCGATATGCCATGAAGAGACTCACACAAAGACTTGATAAGTGTGCTACGTATTGCGAATTCAACTCCACACATTCGCACTTCTCCTACCGGGAATCCCTGTCAGAAAAAGATATATCCGGCACCTTTTTCTTCAAATTGTGAAGCATCGGATAATCTTGTCTCACTCAGTGCAGCAATATCTATTTCAAAACGAGCAAGCTCATGCGCCCCAATGGCGGTCCTGCGTTCATGCCGATCACTACTCTCCAAAAATGTGCAAACGTTCCATGCTACAAGGTTAAGTATTTTTTTTAATTTATGATTATTTTAACCCCAGAAAATGGATATCCAGTCCGCCGCAGTCAGCTTTTTGGCTAGCTTTTTTAGGACACATTTTCTAGTTCCCTCTTTAGTTGGAGAAAGCAGTGAATTTCTAAATAGGGCTGCTTTGCCGTCAAGACAAGACACTTCCAGTAGTATCCTCTACCTGCGCCGTCGTCATTCTCCAGTCGTCGCAGGACTTTTACGCTCACATTATCCATCGGAGATAACCTGCACAATTGAAATAGTTTAAGGTGGGAAAAGTTGTGTGAGAACTAGCCACACCCTCTCTTTCCACAAAGGCCGGGGTCAGCAGGCACAATAAATTGCAACGTGATGACTGACCAGTATTGGCGCAGCAGTTTAGTCGGAATTGACACCAAGCTAATGAACAGAACCATCTTTATAGCCAACTGCTGGTGCTAGCAATTTTCTCTTTGGGTTTGCTCCCATAGCCTTCCCATGAATGGATGTGGCCGCAAGGCAGCGGAGGTTTGAAGTCAGAGTTTTCTTTCTCTTAGTTTTATACATAGGATACATATACATACATACATACATACATACATACAAACAAACAAACATACATACATGCGTACATACATACGTACGTACGTACGTACATACATACATACATACGTACGTACGTACATACATACATACATACATGCATACATACATACATATATACATACATACATAGACATACATACATACATACATACATACATACATACATACATACATACATACATACATACATACATACATACATACATACCTACATACAAACAAACAAACATACATACATACATACACACACATACATACATACACGTACAAACAAACATAGATACATGTGCGTAGCATACATATATGCACAAGTGTAGAACATCTGTATTACCTGGTCAGTTGATTGCCAATCCAGTACCATTCCTCAAAAACATCCTGCTCATTTTTCAGCCTGTACATTTCGCTGGCGTCCACCGGATGGATCTTGTTTGGTCTGGTGACGAATAATGCAGCCAGTTCCTTGCTCAGCTGGTGGTTCACTGAAATTATTTTATTCCTCTTAGTAACAAGAAACATGTCGAATGCATGCTGTTTACATCGGTGCTGCTCGTTCGTACCTTCCCATTATAATGTTAATGGAAGCCAGGGCGGTAATGATGTCACACATTTATTATAACTCAAGGTTTGCTAATAATTTCAAATAATAATTTCATTCAATAATTTGTTTCTTATATTGACTCTACTGAATCCATTTTGACAATTTGAAGGGTTTCGTGCAGTTGTTCTGCGGCGTAATAATAATAGGTTACATTCAATAAACACATGCCACATAAGATATCATTTACAAATAATTATTTTATTATTTTTATAGTATTTTTTGTACCTTAATTATTAATCAATAACCTTGCTTAAAATTTTTTTTATTACTTTTTATATTTATTTTGCACTTTCATTTTATCATTACCATTATATTGATTTTTTTCAATTATGAACACGCAACAATGATTTTGTGGAAGGAATCAGGAAACTGCAGGTTAGGTAAGAAAGAAGGTTATAAAAAATATGATGCAGTTTATTGAATCCCACCCCTTTCTTGCATAGAGAATAAATTCCTGGAGAGATCACTTGTACTTGTAGAGGCTTACTAAACTTTATTTAATTTGTTTTTAACGCAATTGTTACAATCACTATTGATGCCGTAACCTTGTAACACTGACCTGACTTTCATTGATCCAAAAAGTGTTTGAAATGTCCTTCTCGTTTGCAAGAATTCATACCAAACATCAAACGTTTAATTAATTAATTAATTAATTAATTAATTATTGTTTGGTTATAAAATTAGAAACATACGATTGAAATAATTTGATGAGTTTTCGTTGGAGTCGATGCAAGAGAGATGGTGGTGATGGTGGTAGTGGGAGAGGGGGGATGGCACGACGTTGTTAGTCGACCCTGAACACCCCTCTGTTGTTTTCGACAACTTCTTGGAGCTGTAAGTTTAAATTGTATTTTTAATAAAATTAAATCTGTTCTAATGAATACAACTGCAGAGGCGATTAATAAGGATGACTTCATTACACTAACATCAACATTTGTTGAACAAACTTTTGTTGCCACACTTTTGGATATTTATTTATCATCAAGTTTGTCAATTTATTTTAAAAAGATAAGCTGGCTTGGAAGAATTTAATTAATGTAATCATTTTAATAAAATTTGCAGATCATTTTGTTAATAAATAACAAAAGTTTTATTTCGTGTAAAATATTTTTGAACAATTTTTTCAAGCAGCATAAGTGAGTGTCTACAAAGTTATTTATACTATTCCATTATCTATTCACATGCTTGTTAATTTGAGTTTGTATTCACTTATTTATGAAATTCTTCATTTTAGCTGTTAATTAAATTAAATGATATCTATCCACTCCCCTGCACAATCCTGCCCTCTCCACGCTGCTTCATTTTTCCAATCATCTAACCTCCATCTCAGTGAAATCCTTTCAGTCCAAGTTTTGACTACTCTTCATGCTGATCGGGACTCATCATATTCAAAGTTTTAATTTTTTCAGACCATAAGCTTTATTTTTCAGTAGTAACAAACAGAATTGTCAAATTTAAAAAATTCAAATTCTTAGGCATTTGATATGAGTGAATGAGAGGATTGAGACACTTTTCGTCAAAACGACCTAGCAGTAACGGCTTTTATCGGAGAAAGAAGTTTTTACAAATTAAGTTAAATTATAAATTGAGTTCAATAAATAAAATTTTATACGTTTAAAATAATCTGTGACTCATTTCAAAGAAGTTTTGAAAATTTTACGGGTACCCGAGTCCGAATGTCTTAATCATCTCGACTACTGTTCTGAATAAGACGGAAAGAGTCATAGATAGGACACCTTTTAACTTTTTTATATATTTAAAACTAATATTATTCATTTAGGTTTTTGTGTTGCAGTACTTTTTAAAAAGGTAATAATACAATGTGATGCAATATTCAAAGTATATATAAGTGCATAAATTATTAAAAATTTAGTACAAAAATTCAAACTTTAATGAACCCATACAAACAATAATAATTTTTAAACGTCATCTTTATTATTAATCAAATAATAAACTGTATTATCTTTCACAAACAAAATGCTTTTCTTCCTAGCACAAGATTTTTTTTTTGTTTTTCTGTCTTCTTTTTTCTTGTGGTTCAGCATTTTTAATTGCTGTGTTTGTCAGAATTCTTGTTCTTGGGTGTTTAGTGTTTACCTTTAAATTTCCTAGGCGGAGCAACTGGATAAGGTCTGATAACTTCAGGTTTAAATATTGAAAACTCTCATTACAAATAATGATTTTATAAAGTATCAGCAGAATCATTTCATTGGGAACTAGTTTAATTTAATAAAACTGAAGAGTTTGATTGGCTTGATGATCCATTTGGCTCGCGTGCACTATCCACTTGCGAATAGATCTGACCTGAAGATTCTACATTATTGGCACTACGGAGATTCAAAGTACCACAATCTATCATAGTTGTCACTGGTGCATCACATGGTCTGTCAGTTAGTTCAGATGGTGGAAAATCATTTCTCATTTCTACGGCTGGCAGGTCATAATAAATCTTGCAGAACTTTATTGAATAATCACATAGTCATTTCTTGCTGTAACGAAATTACTCGCTGATTTCCCCAATAACTAATCTTATGCAAATTATTTTCAGAAGTTCCAATTTTTTTATTGTTATTTCAAGTAAAATTCTGTCAAATTCACTAACATTTTGATACTGAAGTCAGAAAAAAAAACAGAAAAGATATGATGATACATACATTTTTTGATGAATTAATGAACGCGTCAACTTTAACCAGAGGATAATTTCGCGTTTTCTGAAGTCAACCGGGAATGCATGGAAAACAACATCGCAACGATCAAAAACATTAGAAAATGATAAATGAGATTTCATTAGGTGCGTTTTGTGAAACTGCGCCTATGAGGATGCATAACTTCAAGAAAATTAAATGAATTTTAGCGCAATTTGAGACTTGTACACCTTAAAATGACGTCATCATACCCTACTTGAATGACAAGTTTTTTGTGAAAACATGGAAAATGCATCAAGTCTGTTGATGCTATTTTGAATCTGCACCGTTCGTTATCGAAACATGAAATTAAACACGTTGTTTATTGCCCACTGTTACTGCGTGCTTTTGCGAAAGATTATAAACTTTGAAATTTTGTAAATTTGCTAAAATATTTAAATCTTTCTCGAACATAACTAACATCCGCATTAGATTTAGCTAGCGTTGCTGAGCCAACAAGAAGAACTCTGTGTACAACTGTGTACATGCACTGTATTTTTTTTATTAATTTCATTATTATTATTTCTGGTAATATTTAATGTATATGTGTACCTAGGCATAACTTCAATAACTTTTATGAATGGACCCTTACTGATTTATATGAACGGATCCAGTTTTGCTGCAAAATTTTCATCTTGTCCAGCAACAACGTGATGGAGAAGCATGAAGAAATATGGAGAAGAAATAATGAGTCGTTGGAAGCTAGAAAGATGACGGTGATCACTTTTGAACAAAGGAGTTTCAAGTTGAGAACCTTTTAATGTGTTTACACGTCAAATTTTCAATTTGACGTCAACAAAGCCAGCAGGCTGAAAAATTAGTTTAACTTTGGAGTGATATTTAATAAACGTTTTGAAATGTATAAAACTACTTCCAACGTCTGCCAGATTACATATGTATAATAATCTACATGATGGGGCATTATGAGCACATTTTAGCAAGCAACAAATTTTAAAATAATGATAGAGTAAAACTTGTTTTATATTGTTATATATGTATTATTTGTACGTTACATTGTTGTTAAATGTGCTCATAAAAGAAATAACACATTTGAAATCATTATAATTTTTAGTATCAATTTGAATTTTCACTTGCTTTCGATGTGGTTGTGACGATGAACTGGATTGAAATATTTGTTACAGTTTCATCAACTATGTGACAACTTTGTACGACATTTATTTCAATGCAGTCTAACTGGAGAATTAAGTTGTTTGAAAATTTGCTTGCCGTGTGACGAAGCGAACAAAGATTGAAAAATAAATCAAGCTGAAGAGACTTTTTTGATGTTTGAAAGAAATATTTTGAAAGAAGAAACACACGCATGCCAACCAAGTCCCATATGTTATTTTGTGTGGAACATTTTTTGCCATGACTAACTTATGATGATGTTCTCTTTGGCTAGTGTGCATTAAGCTGGTTAAGAGACACGTATCACAGTACAACTCATGTTTTATTTTCAAGTTATTCATAAGTATATAACATATCGTACCGAAGTGATTGGGCGATTTTAATTGACATTATGCACAAATTTACTTTAAAACGTTTAAATAATAATTGGTTCAGAAACAACGGACACATGTAATGTAATTTTCATTATGCAAACAGTTCAGTGACAGCAACAGTTAAGAATTACTAACGTAAACTTTTTGGGCGTATCAACGACTGGTATCTTAGATATTGTAACATTTTTAACAATCATCTTGTTTGGCAATGGCTTTATGATTGCGTTGTTGTTGTTGGAGTTGTTGCTGACGTTGTAAACAGGGGAGTTCATCGTTGACGGTGAGGATGATAATGAAGAAGAAATTGCGCTGAAATTTGATTTATGCATTAAACTGCTGTTGTTGTTGTTAATTGACAATTTTTCTTCAAGCATTTGTTGTATCTTTTTGATGTTTCGTGCTTTCAAGTTTTGTTCGAACGTGGAAATGTTGCCGTTGATAGAGATGTTGTTGTTGCTATTGTTGTTGTTGTTGTTGTTGCTACTGCTGTTACTGATGTTACTGCTACTGTTGATGCTGTTGTTGTTGTTGTTTGGATGGTGAACAAAATGCCGGCTACTTCTTTGTTGAATTTGTTGAGTTTGCTGTTTTAGAAGTTGCTGCTTGTGCTGCAGATTAATTTGTTGTTGTTTCAATTGTTGCAGTTGTTGTTGTGCGGTGCTCCTAATATTATTGTATTGTTGCTGCTGCTGGGATTGTTGAGGTAGTTGCGGTTGTTGCTTGACTACTTGCACACTCGATTGATAGCTAGATGTTTTTTGCGAAGGTAACATTGAACTTTTCGAGTCCGGCGCTTTAGTCGAAAAGTTAAAAATTTCAGTTTCAGTTGTATTAAAACGTTTTATAAGACCAATGAACATAGTTGAGCAATATAAAACAAAAAACAAAGAGCTGCTAACATGATTTAGCGAAGTATGTGACGTCGTTTGATATGGGAATTCTTTGAATGCCCGCACCAGAGAGCTGAGCCGCAGAATTCTTTCGCATTTTTTGAACTTCTTTCAGTGAAATGTCATTTTTTTTGTAAACTTTTCTGGCGAGATCTTCGTGCGAGCAGGTTTTCTTGGCAAACTTGCCCAGGTTGGTTGCGTAGTTGCCCCTCCCAACGACTGACGTGTGGCTCTTGCTCGAACCTATGGCTGTCGTCAGTATTTATTATAACTTTCGTATTAGTGTTTTCAAGTGTTCAATTGTTTGTGTATGCGCGTGTATGTGCGTTCGTGTGAACGTGCGCGTATAACGGTAGCGTTTAACACAAAAAATGTTCAGGAAGTAATTAATATTTTAATTTTTTTTAAGAAATTAACTGTGTGCAATAAACTTGCCGTTACCTTGTTTCGAGTCCATGAATCCGACGTGATAGTTTTATGCATCAATCAAAATCATTTTGTTCCGTGCATATATATTGATAAAAAAACATGCCATGATGTACTTCATGAGCTTATTTGGAACCACATGAACGCAGATGAGCACGTTTGGAAGAACAAACAAGACCGGATGTGATTTCAGCAATTATCCCAGTTGTTACGGCTTAATAACAATTCCATAATTTCATTTGCATTTTCTACAGACCCTATGTACGGTTCCTATGCACATATTACAAACATTGATGATGAAAAAATTTGTTCTTATATATTACCGGCTTAATTAACGTTCATCTCTTTAGACATTTTTAATATGGCTGGAAACGTCGGATATCTTTAACATTTGTGAAGCAATTTTTATATCGATTTTGAAGAGCAGCAAACTATGGAGCGCAGACCGCTGCATTAAAATAACATTTCGACATACAAACAACAATTCCAACTACGAGTTACTTCACCCTGATGATCGTGTGGACTTGTCAACATTATTAAAGCTTGTTAACAGCCAGGCATATCGAAAACAAAATATCGTTTATTCATCCTTTCATTTGCATTTTCCTCATCCATTCTTCACCATCACAACAGCTGCACGCTCACATAATAATACTTCCATTTATTTAGCATGTACATTTGAGCATATAATATTCAGGCTATACACGTGTACACACATATAAATGTACGTACGTACATGCAAACATGTAAACGTACAAACGTTTATACATACAGACATACATACATACATACATACATACATACAAACATACATACATACATACATACATACATACATACATACATACATACATACATACATACATACATACATACATACATACATACATACATACATACATACATACATACATACATACATACATACATACATACATCATACATACATACATACATCATACATACATACATACATACATCATACATACATACATACATACATGCATGCATGCACACATACATACATGCATGCATGCATACATGCATGCAAACATACATACAGACATGCATGCATGCATACATACATACATACATACATACTTGCATATATACATGCACACTTTCACAGCCATGTTGCGCGCTCTTATTATCATACGCAGTCTGCTCCACAAATGCGTGCATACTTGCGCCTGACGTTAGCGGTTTTTTAATTATAAGATGTTTATTGTGAATCTAATAATATCACTGGAACAAATTTTCAAACATTCCAGGAAAATTCTTATTTTAATTTAGGACTAAAAATGTTTCAGTATTCATTATTGATATTATATATTCATGTTTTATATTATTTTTAAATAAAATTTTAATTTAATGCAATTCCTAAACAGTCTTTAAACAATAATATTTGTAAAAAATCAAATATTAAAACCTTCTACATATATGATTAACACAAATTAAAAATAAAGTTCTCTTGCTGGCTTTCCATAACTTTTGACTTTTGCTCTTCTTGTTTTATTAAACTAACCACCAGGTTTTCTTGAATGTTTGTTGTTGATGGATGAATCGGACTGGCGATATTCAGTTTATTTTTCTTTTAAAGTATGATAGAATTATTTGATCTCGATTCTCTGTCCACCGTCGTCGTGACGGCCATCGGTCTGCTAGCTGCGTACTTTCTGAACCTGCACAGCAAATCAGTGGCCCCCCTCCTCACCTACTACCCCTCCCAATTCAACCTGGATGTCCTCAGCAATTGCGACCTGCTCCTCAAACCGTTCGTTCATTTTTTCCTTCTTTCTTCATATACAATACAATATATATATATATATTTTAATATATATATAATCTAACATTCCATCTATCTATTAAGTATAATTCTATACAATACAATAAGAATACAAAGCAAGGGTAGAGTGTTTGATTGTAATGTGGTACCAATCCAACATTCTAACATTTCAATATAGATACTTTAGTATAGAACTATAGATAGATTCTATACATAATTACATGCAGTAACATACATACTGGTAAACTTTCACAGCTCGCTTATGTTCATTGTATGATAATTACGCTCATTATTTCTTATTTTAATTTTATTAAACATAAAACTAAAAAACCAAAACCTATTCTTCATTTTTTTGAGTTTTTGCCCTTTTATTTTTAATTTTTAGTTTCTTACTTCATTGGCTTAGTTTAGTTTAGTTAGTCGAATCAATGGTTATTTTTTTATTTGTTTTAAGTTATTTTTTATTTATTATTAAAATAAAAAGTACAATCAAAATTAACAAATTAAAACAACTATTACTCACTATTTTTTCAATTAAATAAAGGTGTCTCACCTCATTATTTATTTGGTAAATAAGAAATGAGAACTAAAGATGAATTAGAAATTTTGGTTGCATTTTAAATATAATTTTGAATTTCCTATTGAGACTGGGAAATTTTACGATAATAAAATGATAATAATAGATAAAATTTAATAAATGATTTTCAGGTGCATGTAATTGCAAAATAAATTGTCTTGAATAAATAATTTTAGTTGAATGCTTGCTGGTTGTTAGGGGTGGTTATTTGTTTTAATTAATTAGTAAAGTAAAATGAATGTACTTTTTTATTAGTTTTAAAAATACATATATTATATTAATTTATTAATTATTATGTATTTATTTATTTATATAATTTTATTCATTAATTAATTAATAATTTTTTTTAATCCTGAGTAAGGCACTGAGGCTAGCTAACAGTATTCATTTTTATTCTTTTATTTTTTTCACTCAGTTCCCCAGTGCTGTTAATTTTTTGGCATGTCTCTTCAATTCCCATTTCTGTTTTTTTTTGTATTTATTATTTGTGTTTCTATAATTTTGTCTTGACAGATATGTCACCAATTTTTCAACTTTCTTTCAATAAAGCAAACAAAACAATTCTTTGCCCTGTTACTCTTTTCTGTTTTCTTATAATCTCTTCTAACTCTACTGAGTAATTATACTTGCTAGGAAAGAAACATCATTTAATTAACTTTTTAAATTTTAAAGTTATGTCCCAACATTTCTTTGGGGTAAGAGTGGTCATGTTCAGACATTCCTGTATGGCAAGATGGGGCGGATCAACTCTCCCTACCCACTAGGGGACAGGCATTCGTTCGTCATGGAGGACGGGGCCACGATGACCTTTGACATCTTTGCACCTATCTCTAACATTAGTTGGATATTATTTTAGCTCACTATTATTAATAAATATTTTATTTCTCAAGTTGATATTGGGATTTTAAATTATTTTGAAGCAGAAGTTTTATTAAAAAGTCACATTGATGAATTGTGCTCAGATAAAAAGTGTGTGCTGCTGGTGTGTCCGGGCATAGCAAACAGCAGTGAGAGCCTGTACATCCGGACGTACATAGATTATGCACAGAGAATGGGCTACATGCTGGCCGTCTTGAACCACCTGGGAGCTGTCAAGTCTGTCGACCTCACAGCTCCTCGTCTCTACACTTATGGTCATTCAACATTGTCGCAATTATTTTTGACAGTTATTTTAATCGGTGTGCAACTAATTGTATTTGATTCATGAGTCAATTTGTGTTGTATTGAAGCAGCAACTGATTATTTTAACGTTATTTTAAAAGTAATTTATAATGTAGTAGAGTAGAGAGTTCATTAGACTGAGTTGGAAGGATCAAATGTGTCGTCAGTATTAGCTTGGTTCAACTGAGGTTCCAAGAAATGTGTGAATATTTCATACAATTTATTTTGTTAAATACTGTTCAAGTTGTGCATTCTATGAGATGATGCTTGGAAATGAAAAAAATTTGAAATATGAAACAAATTGTAGGACACTTGGTACTTCAAATATCGAACAGAGGTCATTTAATTAATGAAAATAACCAACATAGAGTGCGAAAAGGTGGCCATCATTGAAAAGGTGCTCAACAACTCAAGTGCACATTACATGAGACCACTCACATCATGTCATATTGCACTATTGCAGTCATATAGTTCCTACTGTGTGCTTTTCTTGGCTTCTAGTTAAAATTTCTGATTATATTTTTTAATTCGTGTTTAGTTCAAAATGTTGGAGTGGTAGTGTTTTGTTTTATGCCTTCAAATATTGATGGTTCTCTGTTGAACGGTTAAACATGTTGTAAGTGTTTCTTCTGTTTTGTACAACTCAATCGCGTTATATTGTTATACGTGTTATACGTTTCGTTACTTTTGTTATTTGGCTGACTATATTGAGTTAGAAGTTTGTAAGGTAGGTACTTGAGATCACTTATTTGTCAATTGATATGTATTGAAATGTATATGAATGTATTCAGTAAACAATCCTTCGTGATGGAAAATGACAAAACAGTTTTTCACACATTTCCACAATATTATAATTCACTTCATTATTACTATTATTATTAGAAAATTTATATAGCACCATTTGATGCAACTGAAAGGCGCTGCTTTCGTCTGGTGGAATCATCTGGAAAAAAGATACGTCATAAGTTAAAATATGTTGAAAAGATTTCAAATAATAAAATAATTTTAAAAAAGATAAGTTCGTCAAATTTGTTTCATGTGAACTTGTAACATCAAGTTCATCAAATTTGTTTAGAAAATTTTTTTATCAACATAAATACCTCTCGTCTTGTATCCAGTATAACGTATCAGTCATACTTCCAAAGGGAAATGTTCTCAGGATTAAAAATATTGACTTTTCTCATCAGAGCTGTCCACTCGTGTGTAATCAGTTTAGCAGTTGTTACTTGCCTGCAAATATTTGTTGTGGTTGTTGTTGTTGGAGGAGGAGTTTGTAATTTGTAATTATCAATAAATTATAAACTACGTCCTCAATGTTGATAGTCAATTGATGCAATTTATATAATAAGAGAAAGCATTTGCAGATAGGTAGATTTATATTTATTTTATATTCATGCGTCTCTTTGGGTTTCCTTTCTTATTGAATAGTTTTTTAATTCCGACTTGATTTATTTGTTTATACTGTTGCAAGAATAAATGAACACACCACTGAAATGAACGACAGGCGACACGGAGGAGTATGCGAAGATGGTGAAGGAGGTGGGTCTGCTCTACCCCGACTACATGTTCATTGCGGTTGGCTTCAGTCTCGGCGCGAACGTCGTCATCAAGTACTTTGGGGAGGATGTGTCGAGGCAGGATGGTTTCGTGGGGGCTGTCTCTTCCTGCCAGGGATATGACATCCTCAGGTTGGCAGCTCGCCACTTTTTTCATCGTTTTTGACGTTTTTATGTTTGTTATAGTTCTTCGGATCTATTGACGGGTTGCTGCCACATTTCAAGTTGGCCATATTTCTTATGGCATTCGTGGTTGGTTGTGTTATTTGGGGTCTTTGATCTGGATATTAATTAAAAATTTGTATAAAATTGTTGTCGTTGTTGTTAATGTATTTAATTGTTTTCAATAACGATCATCATGGTTGTTATGTTAATAAAAGGAATTTAAAATAGATTGAAAGTTTATATTGAATGTTTTGCTGATGATGGCCTGAACGATTGGCAGGTTGTATCCGATGATGACAGATTGGAAGCAGTTGAGGAGGTTGTACATCCTGGCCATGACCAGACACCAACAGGGCATTCTCAGGAGGTCTGCATCATCTCCTATGAACAATCTTCTTTCACTCTATTTTGTATTAGGGCTCTTCTTTTATCTGCTCTTGTTTTTTTCACAATAATCGGGTTAAATTAAACCGAGAAATATTTTTTTGTTTTACGTCTCATTTTCAAATTGGGCCATCTGTGAACTTTTGTAAATGTTGTTGCTTTTTTTTCATTGTTTTGCTCTGCTTGAACTAATTTGAAGTTGAATGTTTCAAAGCGAAGATTATCTGTTAGCTTTGTTGGTTTGTGTTTGCAATTAATGTTTTATTAGATGTCAATGTGCCTGAGTGAATGGTTCTGTTTTTTTTCCACAGTGTTCAGTAATGAACATTGAAATTGTTCAATAAGATTGCAAGTTCGTTTTTTGTGTTTAAACAATTCGGTTTCATTATGATTCTCTGAATGAAGAACTGTGCAGACCTGTCCACCCACACCTTCGCTTTTGTTATTTTGACTGAATAATTCAATTTTTTCAGATATCAGTCGGTATTGTTCAGTGAGAACTCGCAGCAGAAGTATGGTCAGTTTGACGTGAAGGCCCTGATGAGTGCCACCACCCTCCACCAGATCGACGAACTCTACAGTCACAAGAGGGCGGGGTTCAATTCCTGTGAGGAGTATTATCATTGGGCCAGTTCCTGCAACTACATTGATAAGGTCAGGTCAGGTCAGGTTAAATTAAATTAAAGGATGTGTGTGTGTGTGTGTGTGTGTATGTGTGTGTGTGTGTGTGTGTGTGTGTGTGTGTGTGTGTGTGTGTGTGTGTGTGTGTGTGTGTGTGTGTGTGTGATGAGATGTGGTGTTACGAGTTGGAGAGGTGTATGTTTTTAACGACCAAGATGTCACCGGAGTGTGTCATGGTCGGAATGAACATTTTTTAAGATGATTCCAAAGCAATGATAATCAAATATACATGGGTTAATTGTAAATTGAAAATTTGAATTAATTAATTATTGTCTCATGAGGGGTTATTTCAGAGCTTAGATAATGTTAATTTAGATGTGGTTTGTCATTTGAAACAGGTTCGCTTACCGATGCTGTTGTTGAACGCGGCCGATGATCCCATCGTCCCAAAGGAGGTCCTGCAAGTTCCTCACAGGATTGCTTGTTAGTTGAATATCTTCATTGTCGTACCATCTCCGAGACATTTCATCACATTACTCTTCTTGGTTCTTTCGTTATTGTTGCAGATATTTTTACACTTTCTGTTAATGTAATCAATTTTTCAATGCAAACGTGGTTTGATTGATTAAATTGAAGTTTCACCCACCTGACCAGCCGAGCACAGGAATGTCATCTTCGCCCTGACTGCTCACGGAGGGCACCTGGGATATTTTGAAGGTCTCACGAGCTTTCTTACTTTATACTTTTTTATTAATCGACGAATGATTTTTTTTCGTTTGAATCAAAATTAATTTTCACGGCATATCATTGATTTCACAAATTTGACTAGACGACTTAGCAGGCAGGTCATAACATGGATCATTATTATCTTCTTGAATGTTTTGTTGTTTAGGTTGATTCTTATGAATTGTTTCATTGTTGGATTTATGAATGGAATTGTTTGTTAGCTTGTAGTGAGGAACAATATTGATGTCGTTACGTAAACAAGGAGGGCTGATCATTCCGAACACTGTGACCTGGCTGGACAAGGTGGTTGTTGCGTACTGCGATGCCCTGCTGCACGTCATCACATTGTCACCTCCGTCGTCGTCGTCGTCGTCATCATCCACCAAGCGACCCAACCAAGCTGATGGCGAGGACAACAAATCTGACCTGAATGGAGCCAACCACGTAGTCACTAGCAAAGAGGATGGGAATAGGAAGGATGACGTCATCGTATCAGATGTCATCGGTTTAAGTGATTCAGTTGTGTGAGTTGTTTCCATTAATAGGTTGTTGTTGTTGACCATTTGTTAGTTTTTTGTTTTTCTAACGTACGACAAGTAGTTCACAAATGGAACGCTAATCTAGTTGAAACGTTTTTTTTAAATTATGCTCAATGCTTCAGTTGGTGTTGAGCGAGTTGTGGAAGTTGTAGTTAATGTTGTTGCTGCTGTTGTTGTTGTTTCATATTAGAGCTTTCAATATTTTGTTTCCAACATTTCCAGAACCATCGTCACTATCACCGAATTTAAATCATCAAGCTTGTTTATTCGTTCATTGATTGATTCATTGATTGATTCATTGATTGATTTATTGATTGATTCATTGATTGATTCATTGATTGATTCGTTCGTTCGTTCATTCATTCATTCAATCATTCATTCATTATTCATTCATTTGTTCGTTCGTTCATTCATTCATTCTTTTCAATATTTATTATTTGTTTATTTATTTATTATATTATTTTAGTGCACGCATGGATTATGCAGATTTACACCACCAACCTCTCGCACATTTTCATTTTTCAAATATATATTCTCATAGATTTTTTTATTGATTGATTGTTTAGGTAACGTATTTATATTATATTTATGTATTGTTAAATGTTGCATGATAGCTTGAATTTGATGATTGGAATGGATCAAGCATGCGACGTGATGTACCAGCACTGCTTCTACGTTCAGCTCGTCATCCATCAACCTACTCACTCTGCTGCTTGGCTGTTTCGTTCCAGTCGTCGTAGTCATCTGATGGTGCAGAGTATTTCTACCCTGGCTTGTTATTTTCTAATGTAATTGCGATGATGTAACACTCACGATCTGTGAGCCACACTCTCCTTCCATCGTTTGAGGATTTGTTTTTAACATGCACGGGGATGGGGGGACGTTTCACTTGAATGCAACTTTTATTAATTTTCTGAACCTCAGAAAGTAGACTTACTAAGTAAAATTCGTCACTGGTTGACTTTCGCTTTTCGAACGGAATGGAACATGTCCAGCCAGATCAGCCTTCACCGCAACTTCTTCATTGGAATTGAGCTAATCTTCCACGCAATGAGTATTCAGGCCGATTGGAATTACGATCAAAATAAATTGATTTAGATTATTATTATTTCCTCCCGCGTATGTTCTGGCTTGCGTTTGTTATTAAGTTTTTCAAGTTTATTACAAATCGTTTAATTTTCATCTCCTGTTTCAATCAAACCCTGTATAGGAATTTAAGTGATAAATTGACGAGGGTCGTTGTTTAGCGTATGGAATATTTAAAGTTAAATTAGTAGCCTACGTAAGACGGTGTTTCGTGCATGAAATGTGCTGGATGTGGATCTTAGAACAGGTAGATTCGAGTCTTCATTGATAATGTGCGGGATTATGCATAACAAATTGTACATACATACCATATAAATCTTTCTCTCTCTCTCTCTCTCTCTCTCTCTCTATATATATATATATATATATATATATATATAATGTGTTTATTATACACCTCTGTGTGTACCGTTTATCATTTTTCTGGATGGTTTTATCATTTTTCATTCATCAAGCACAAAAGTTAACATTTTAGTATATTATTTGATAGATTTTGTGTGATAATGGTGATGCTAATAATGATGGTGATGATGCTTATAATTCAACACCGGCCCGGTCGGATGATATCCTTGCGAATGATTCGTTCCACTGTTATCTTTCCAACCATTCCTTTTAATTTTATATCATTCATTGATCATTCACTCGGTATCCATTTAACATTTAGCAGGATTTAAGTTCGATGAGACATTCTTCTTGGGTGATATCGTCTTCATTATTGTTTCAGTGCAACATTATATTTATATATATTGAATTGAATTAGATATTTCACTGCAAACCTAGCTTAATAGTATTTATTTATTTTATATTTTTTTAAACTTTCGATTTAGACATGTTTTAATGTTTAAATTACTATGTGTTGCGTGATGTTTGCTGGGTGATGTTTGTTGAGGCAGGCTTCAGTAAGTTACATTTCTCATGAACAGTTCGCTTGTTTGCACCGCTTGTTCACCTTCCATCCTACATCTGATTTCTTTTTTTTATCCTTTTACGTACCTGCGTGCAATTTTGTATCAATATTGTCTCATAAATTAGACTGGAATATATTTTATTTATGTGCTAGCTCTCGTGGCTTCTTGTTATTTTTAGATCATATTGTTAATGAAGTTCTGACTTTTGTAACGTTCTACATGTTCATTAATTCTTTTGTTTTCAAGCTTTATAATTATGCGGTGTGCAGTTTAGTTGAATTTTGCACAATTTTTGTTGTTATCCATTGTTCAAAATTATAATTTCATTTTCCAGACAACGGTTTATTTGCAGATTTATAATAAATTACATTTGCAGCACTATATTTGTAAAGTTTCAAATCTTAAAATTGTATACACTCCACGCTTTTTCGAAAATTAACGATTTCTTGTCGTTAATTTGAAATGATTAACGAAGCACATTTTGTCTATTTAACATTCTTTTACGTTATAGAACAAAATTTCGACAATTGATATAAATTTTCGCTAGTGTTGAACGGCCCATGTAGAGGCGGAGTTCCTCGTTGTATTTTGACCCGGTCGTTGCAATAAGCCCAAACATATATACACAACTTTACACAGTTCTTTGCTTTAATTTGGATTGATCTTAAGTCTGCTCTCAAACTAAGACGAATTTAAACAACAAAAATGATTTTTTTTGAAACTACACTCGAATGTTAAATTGAAATTTTTACGGAATAAATATCATCACGATAGTTTCGTATAAAGTTAATATTTTTATACTAAACTTTTAATCAATCCTTAGCCCATAGTTGTAGAAAACTACTCGGTGGGTCAGATCAGATTGTTAATATCGTGTTTATCATTCTTGTTCTCAGGAACCCGGTTTTGTTGTTTACTTTTGCGTCTCATCCTTATCGTATTACCATTATCGTTATATTCGGCTTTCTCAATAATTTCCAGGTTGTCAATTTTTTTGAGTATTAAATAGGTATATCGGAGTTGGAGACATGATCTCGCCGCAGAAAATTTTATACATGAATGTATGAACGCGTTATCAAGTAGTTTTCTACATCTAAGTCTATGCCTTATTAATATGTTGATGAATGTTCCTCACTTATTTGTTCATACGATGAAGCTCATTTTGCAAATTTATAAATATTTAAAACTTTTTGTCTAAACATTTAATTATTCAGTTAACTAATTTATTAATTCTGTTTCGTCAGTTAAGTATTAAAAAATGCATTATCATCGGAAGTGAGCAGGAGTACAAAATTTCAGCTTACTTGGAAAATAGAAAATTATTGAAAAATCGATTACCAGATTTCTGCTATAAAAGAAAAACATGAAAATTAATATAAGTCTCCCAGGAAACATTCAGAATTCGTGGATATTTTTTTACAATGAAATGTTTTCTATTGCAATGACCACTAGTCCTATACAAACGACAAAATGATGTGCGCTTTTTGTTGAAATGAAGAACTTTATTTCAGAGGATAAACGTGTCAAACATATCAACGAATGGCTAAGTAAAATTACTGAGATTACCTTGAAAGTTGATGGTTAACAAAACTGTGGCCATAATTTTTTCAACTTTCGTCTCAAACGCACAGCAATGTAACTAAGCATGAAGTGCAAATATCTCCAAACGGTCAATTTTTAAATTTAAAATCAGTTAGGAAGCCGATGTTGTGCCGCAGGAAAGCTAAGGCCACTTAAAAAAATTGTTGATTAAGTGTAAGAAATAAGAATCAATGAATGTAACAGTTTTTTAAAGTTGCACAGAAAAAATCAGGGATTTATGAAATAATTGGAAATGCCTGGATTTGATGGGCACGGACAATTCCGTTTAAGTTGCTAACAGGAATGTAAGTATCTATGCGCCTGTTTTCTCCCACTTTCCAAGATAACTAAAAATTACATAATGGACTATAGCAAAATGGAGCACAGCATGCACGATGAAAAGAAAGTTTATTTGAAGCGTTATTGAAAAATTAAGGACCATTTTTTAAATTAAAGGTAAAATTCATAAAAGTGGAATTAAATGTATGAACTCAAATTCGCTTCATTACTTTTCTTTCAATATAATTTAAAATTTGTGTTTGCATGCTGACGACTTGCGATTCAGTCAGTGTCTTGTAATTTAATTAAGTCAAAAATGTTAGTATTGTGTTGCAGACATGTTTGAACAATTACATTTTAATTTTTAACCAAGATGTTGTGAAATAAGGCTCCGACTATATAGTGTGGCACGGCAGTCTGGATAGCTACCATGTACTAAAATCCTAGGTAATTTTCATGCAACACTATGCAATGTGGCAGAGATAATGTTAACATATTATATTTAAATAGTTTATTTTTTTTAGATAACTTTGACTTTTTCAAATATTATATATTTGTAAATATTTTAATTATAAATTGATTTGTAAAATTATTATTAGATGCTCTTAAAGGTTTACCAACAGTAATCAGAAACCTATATTTTAGTTATTTAGTAAATTGTACACAAATATATTACAACAATCATTGTATATATATGTAAATGGTACAAACTAAAATATTGTTTATATTATGAATTTAAAATAAGCACAATGAAAAAAATTAAATAGCTCAATTAAATTTTTTTTACAAACATTCAAGTTATTTTTGTTAAAAATTTTGTATTATGTTTTTTGACAATACGATGATATGTAATGTGATATAAAATTGAATAAAGCCGCTAACCCAAACAAGTTTCGACAACGTGTATGTGTTGTATACGAATGTATGTATGTATTCTATCACTTTCGATCCGGGTTGCCAAAACTTTTTATTAAATTTTTAAATGGTTTTTGAACTTAACTACTTAACTTGGATTTGAAAGAAATTGTTTCGAAATATCAAAACATTTTTGTTTTGGTTGAATCTAGGTAACGAAATGACTAGCCAAGCTATTTGTTATTAAGTTATTAATAAAAATGTTTGAAATAAAATTTTTTTGTTAAAAAAAAGGTATGAATGAAAACCAGACGTGTATTACTTTTCCATGTATATATTTTATCAATAAGTTCAGATTAATTATTAAAAAAATCTTCATCACGTATTTAGTTGCGTAGAACGGACTTGTAAACATCTTTTTTTAATGTGGCCAACTCCAGGCAAAGTTTCTTGAGTCCTTCAAGTATCAACTGCTCATCACTCAACATCACTTCCGCATCTATTATATCTTCTGCCTTGTCATTTTTCTTAAACAAATCAAAAACAAATAAATATATGAATATATATTTATTTGTTTTTGTAATACTTAATACACACACACACACACACACACACACACATATATATATATATATATAGACTATCATAAATACATTTATTTATAAAGATCTCTGCCGAAAACTTTTAAAATATATAAATAATAATATATAAACTTTATAAATTGTATATAATTGTATATATTTATATATACAATTTTATATATAATTGCCATAGTTAACGTGAGGGTAGTCATTTTATGAATGTATATGAAATTATGACATACCATGCACTACAAAGTAATTTAAATATACAAAAGCACACATCTAATAACATGCGAGTTAGATAGAATTAAACATTTTTTTTCATGTATAAGTCTTACAATGTATCCGTGCTTCTTCAGAAGGTACAGAGATACATTTTTCTCGTGTTCTAAACTTTCCAGCATTTTGACTGTTGGGTTGCTTTGCAAATGTTCTGGAAAAAAAAACAGAAATGTTTGATGAATGAGTATTTGTATTTCTGGCAAATGCATGTTTGCATGGCATATTCTACTGTCAAAATTTATAATTATATATTTCCAAAATGTGAGACACTTCTTCAGTCTTTAGAACATGCACATGTATCAATCCTGGCCGTCGACTGATAAATGCGTGAAACAGCTTTTCCATAATTCAAGCAGATTCAAGACGATTTCGCTATTTCTACAGCAAAGTTTTTTCTCAATGGCTGATTTTTTTCTCTTTTACAATGGTTATCTTTTCAAATTTTTTTATTTTTATATTACCTATTTCTACAAATATTAATATTTCTCTGTTTATCACGCCATATTTACACTTTTTAATTTTTTTGTTTCATGTCTATTTTAGTAATTTATATTTTAATTTATGGTATTATATAGATTCTTTTTTCTTGTGAGATCATATATAAACTTTCGTATCAGATCTTTATGTGCGTAACCACATAGTGATTGTTCTTCTTCTTATATTTTTATGCTTATCAAACTTCTGTTATGATTACCATTTAAAAACTGTTTTATTTTTTTCTAGAATAAAAGAAAACAAACACAATTTGAAAGAACAACCTGTTTTTTTCTGTTTTTTAATCCTTTCATTTTGCAGCATTTCATCGCGAAATTGCTTGTAAGCGCATGCAACGAATTCACTTATTGTCAAGCCATTAGAGAGTGACGATTTGATTGGAATGGCCGGGATCGGGTTGGGTGCGTGTGCCGTTGTGCCTTCCTCGACTCCACTACCATCCGCTTCATTCGAGTTGATTTTCTGCGCCAGTGCAGCGCGTGACTGCTGCGAGTGTCTGTGCTCTGTGCTACAGATGGTCTTCTGTTGTTGTTCGTTCTGTCCGTGGTGCTGGTTGCTAAATTATCAAGCACGGAATTTGAAAAGTTTTCGTTTAACGCTTCCAATTCAACACCATGCGCTATTAATTCGATCGTGTCTGTCAATGTTCAACATTCAACATGAGGAACGTCGATTTGTTAAAAAACATTTATTAGTTTAGCTTTTTGCAAAAATAATCATTATATATGTGGTAAAAAAATGATAAAAAATTTTTTACGAGAACAATCGCCTGAAAGTTAGTGTAAATTGAAGATAAAACAACTGCCACGTCAGACATAAGATGTAAACAGTTGTAGCGCTACACTTACTAATTAAAGATTGAAACGACTCCAAAGATCGGCGCAAATCATGAAATGTGAGGATTTATACTTCAACAGATAGCAATATTGAAAAACTATTTTAAAAACATTTTGGTAGAAAATTATTTAAATATAAAGATAGGAAAAATTAAGTGAACTATCTCATTGATGTGTTTTTTAGAAAAATAATTTCTAATGTGGAATAAAATCATTATAGAATAAAAAAATGAATAAATGAATGTGGAATCCTTTTAATTGAATATAAGTGCATGTGAAATCACTTAATAATATGCCAAATCAAACCATCTGACAACGTTTAAATGTAAAATTTCATTGCCAATAACCTGAGCTGATTAAAAGTGTCAACACTTATGATGTTGTTGAAAATGTCGTTATATAAAATGCTAATAATTTAGCCTTCACTTGCTAATTTTTTATTTTTATTTCATGGTAACTCCGGGGGCATGAAATTGAAGTCAGTTAAAATGCATTCAATGGTAACATTTGATGAGTTGAACTTCTTAACAAGCAACGTTAAAGTAAGCTATGCATTACAATCTGCATTTCAATTAATCATATCTACTGCCATAAAATGCAAACTATCGGAACGCACGTAAATAACAGCGGTGTGTATAAAAATTAAACGTCCAGCCAGCCAAGCATGAGAATGATGACGTCAACAAGTAGGCGGGCAAGTAAATAACATACAACAACAACAATAACAACATCAACAAACAACATCAACATTAACAACATCAACAAACAACATCAACATTAACAGCAAAAATAGCAAAACAAAAACAGCCCAACATTTAAACAATGCAAGAGACAACATCGAACGAACCAGTGAAAAAAGCAAATGTCGATTGAAGCCAAATAAGGCATGAAAAGGCGGAGAGAATTGAGTTTATGGCTAGATGGCAGAAGTTGATAGCAATTTGTTGCAAGACAAGTGAGCAAATTGAATGTATGCAGTTCAGCTTGCATCTTTACATTTCTTTTTTCTTTTACTTCTTCATTTTGTTTGACTTGTAGCTTCAAGTTATCACTTCTATGTAGCCCCAATATAAGACTTCATTGTAGAGGACATCATGTTCGAATATTAAATTGGAATATTTAGATATAAAAGATATATTTTTAATTAAATTGTTTATGTTAGAAAATAAGAAAAATTGATTTTTTTCATTCTAGATTATCGGCATGCTACGTTTGAATATAACTTTTATTAATTAATTTAATTTAATTATCAGTGAAGGAATTTCGAATAACTACTAGCCTAAGAAAGTGAAATTCTCGTTCATTGCTGCAACAAATTGTAAGCAGCTCCTAGATCAATTTAATGCTCCAACGAAATCGACGCCGTAATGCTTTCAAAAAGAAATCTTTATTCAAATATATCGACACATTAAATAAATAATTCATGACAAAATATAAACATACAAATATAATTAACAGTTAGGTTTTATAGGTTTTTTACATTTATATAAAATACAAAAGATCTTTGTATGTGTGTGTTTATGTGTGTGTAAACGCAATTTTAAAAGAATCGATATCTAATATAAACATCAACATTGACAAGGTAGGGAAGATAATAAATGATTAATGTAAAGCTCTAGCCTGATATTTTTATATTTGAAGTTTCGCCTCCATAAGTTTCATTCATTGGCGACCCCAATTTCAAAAGCAGATCGCTCACTCTCTCACTCACTCCCTCACTCACTCACTCATTTCTTCACCCACTTACTCTCTCACTCACTCATTCATTCACGTGCACAGTGCAGCACTACCCTGCTCTTTATAGACTGATAGCGCAAATTCAACTAAGATGATAATGAATTACATGCACATCATTTTGCTGCACCATTAAGTAGTGGTGTTTTTAAAAACATACATCAAGTTAGGACACCAACATCATCAGTAAATGTAAATTATTTTGAAGTTCACAAAACTGCAACTTTACAATTTTTAATAAAAAAAATACAATGCAATGATTTTTATTCGCTCTTGAAAACGAGCAGTGCACAAAAATATACACACGAAATTTAACAAGATACATCCACCTCACCAGAAATTGCTCAAGTTAAAAAAACAAATAATTAGGTATTCATACAAAAAAAAAAGAAATAAAAAATTCAAAAACTAGAAATTAGAGTTTAAATAAACTAAATAAAATTTGCATATTAAGTTTTAAAAAATAAATATAACTGATCAAATTAGTCCATTCAACGCCGAAAAACGATGACATTAATGTCGGCATAAAATATTATTTCAATTTTTATCCTCTAAAAATGATATAAAAGACAAAGACAATATATTAGTTTAGTTAGTTTTGATTTATTAGCAACGTTCAAACGCAGGTGCTTATTATGAATAAAATTATGAAAGTTGAAGATAGTGGCTGCTGGTTCGTTGGTTCGCCATCTGGAACACATTCAGTTGTTAAAATTCAAGTCGTTCGTTGGCCGAAATTATAGTTCTGCGCAAGTTAGAACAAGTCACAATTTTTATTTTTAGGGCTATCTGCTCATCGGAGTTTCGTTTGGTTTTGTTATTGAACAGCAGTTTACGGGTTGCTGTGTGGACGGCATTGTGCTCAAAAACATTTTAAGGGAGGGGAAGAAGTTGACTTTGCACAGTAGGCCTATTGAGTTTGCAAGGATATTTGTCAATTTGAACTTCAGTTGGCAAAAGTTCAACTTTTGATCAAATAAAATATCAAAAAATTTAAAAATTTCACTTTTTTCAATTTCCATGTCGCTGAGATGATTTTGTAGAAGGGCACTTTGTTGTTGAGCCACTGAATATGTCAGAAGATGTTTGTTAGCTTGTGTTTTGTAGTTATTTTGTGACGATTTGTTGTATTGAAACCAAGACAAATAATAATTTGAGGTAAGTTCAACTGTGTAGTTTTATATTTCAACTGTTTCGCATATAATGATTTTAAATAAATCTTCATTCGTAAAGTTATAAACTGATGTATTCAATAATTGACGTTCAATTTATTTTTCATGATTTGTAAATATCATCCATGTTATGTGTTTGTGTGTGTGTTTGTGAGTGTGTCCTAAGTTTCTGTAATAAAAGATCTGATAATGAAAATATATATATATATATATAAATATATATATATATATATATTTATATATATATATATATATATATTTACAATATTCTATAAATTCTACCGAATGTTTGGCGTTAATATGTA